ATAATGAATTAAAATCATCTTTTGAACATCACTCTCTAGATAAGTAAAATTTCGAATTCTAAATTACAATTATTTTGAGTGTTTTTTTTTTTTTTTTTTTCTTGACAAAAGATGAATAATTAATTCTTTAAACTTACATACATTTATATATAATAATAATTATATATTGCAAAAACGTTATAATAAGTTTCGATTTGTCAGAAAATACGTTTTCTAAATTTTCTTTTGGTACAATATATATATAATTTAAAAATGTTTTTATTTTTTCACGTGAAATTAAATTGAAATCTTTTTTTTGTGAAAAGCTCATAAAGTTTAAATAAGAGCTAAATTTTTTATGAATTAAATTTGAAAAAGAATTTTATTTTGATTTATAATTGAAAAATTTAATTTAAAATAATATTGCATAGAAAATAAAAACAAAAATATTTTAAAAACTGCTTTCTTTTCTCGTGCAATATAATAATAATAATGATAATAATAATAATAATAATAATAATGCAATAGTAAAAAGTGAAAATATAAAAAAACTTGGTGCAAAATTGGAATGTTTAAAGCCACGATTTTTTTTCTATTTTTTTTTTTTAATAAAATAAAATTTATCCAAGTACTTAATATTGTAATTTCCACGTAAACAAATTCAGTGTTTTTTTATTAAAATTGACAGAAACTTTTTTCAATTTAAAGAATTAGATTCTATGACATATTTTTTGGACATAAATTCGAAAAAAGCTTTGTCAAAAATTCATTTTTTGGAATTTTTTTTTTAAAAATTCTATTATCTCAAATTAAAAAATAGTTTATATATGTGGAATTAAATTTTATATAATTTTTTTTTTGCTCTTATAAAATGTTTTTTAATTTGATGTTTTGTTAAAAAAAAAAAGTAATTCATAATGTGAATTTTGAATTTGCTTACGTGGAAAATATCAGAATATGAGTGAAAGACAATAAATAATTGAATTACTGTTTTGTTATACCAAGGGGTTTTACGGCTTTCTACAAATATATTCAAACTTATTATGGATTATAATAATGAATATTAATATCTCGTAACGAAATTCAATTTTTTTTTGTTTGTTACAAGTAATATATTCAATACTCCTTTCTAAATCTAAAAAGCGTTTGGGAGTCACTGATGATGATAGTATACAAATCTCATTACCAAATTTAGCGAATATAAGGACATTAACATGTGTACAATATGTTTCAATGTATTTGCTGCATTAATTCTATAACATATTTATTTACCACAATGACCATATGTTTATTATTTATTTATTTTTTTTTTACTTTTTTTTCGTGTATTCCCTTTTTTTCTCGCTCGCTTTATTCTCTCATTATAATATACCTAAATTTTCACCCATAAATGAGTTTTAATTTAATATTTTATAACACTGCTGTTTACGGGCTCTTTAAAGATTTTCATTTTTTTTTCTTTTTTTTTTTTTTTTATTCTCTCTGTTAATTAACTACGCAAAAGCATGTTTTTTTTCGCTATTAATAATAGCGAATATTTAATTGAATATGAAAATTTGCTACACACATTATCTTCGGATCTCTACGTGCTCTGGCTTTTTTTTTATGGTGTGCATTCACTGATAAATTCTACTAAAAGAGACAAAATATAACTGTTATATTATATATATATGCTGTTATATTTTTTATATATAACAATCAGATGAAAAATTGTTAGGCAGTTGCTACTGACTAATTTATTTTGTATTTTTATTATACTACATTTATTCAATTTTTGGTTCGATCAGGAAATTATGTAATTGCATATATATGTATGATTTTAAATAAAAGAGAAAATCAACATTTATCAAAATGTTTATCTTCAAACTGAATTAATAATTTATATATACTAATAATATTTCCAAAAAAAAGATTTTAATAAGAAAAATAATTTGATTATTTGGTAAAAAAAAAAAGTTAAATAATAAAATAAAATTTTTCTAATCAAAAAAATTATTAACATTTTTTATTTTTATTACCATCATATTATCATATTATTTATTACCATTACATATATTAATTAAAATTAGATAAAAAAACTCATTGAATTTTTTTAAAAATATTATATTTAAGCTTAATTGGAAAAATATATATATTTTTTGCACTATTTTAAGCAAAATATTTTTGAAAAAATTCCAACGAGATGGAAAATTATAAACAAAAATGTAAAAATTAGATGACAAAAATAAAAAAAAAAATTTGAAAAACAAAATTTTTAGATAAATTTTTTTCTTGTTTAAATGTTATGAGAATAAAAAATAATTTTTGAGATTAAAAAATTAAGTGTCTTCGAGCGTTAAAATATATATTGCATCTAGTACCTGAACTATAGTAATAATAAAAAAAAATTTATTAATTTATTACTTGGAATAAGTAATAAAATTTTAAATTACTAAATACTGAAATATTATTTGAGAATTAAAATTATTATTCAGTTCCAAGATTCCGTATGGTAAATGTTTTAATAAAAATAAAAAAAAAATTGTAAGAGACGCACTTGAATGTGACTGACCCGAAGGCAATCGGTGCAACACAAATATAATTTTATACGTAGGAAACAGCAGGGTTAATTTAAAAAAAATTTTAAATTATAATGAGTATTTCTTGTACGTTTAGGATTATTAATAATAATATGACATAATTTTATGTATCATATGGAGTGTATATGGGTGATTCTCCAGAAACAGGTCACTTTTGATTCTTTGATTAATTAGTTAATAAATATTATCTAGAATTGGTTTATTTTTTTTTTAATTTCTTCATTTTAATGATCTTTAATAAACTCATTATCAATATAATGATATTTTACTTCCCAAAATTTATTTTGTCATCTAAAATATGCTAAAAATATACTTTTGCTCGTTCCACACATGGATTTTGCTATTTTTGAATAAGATTTTTGACATTAAAATTAAAAAAATAAAATTTGTCATTATAGTCATTTTAAAGTATTGCTGAAAAACTGTTATTCCCTAAAAGGGTTTTTAATTTTTCGTCCATTTAAATAAAAAAATGTTTATTTATAATGTTTCTTCGTAAATTTTTTTCTGGATCCGGAGTTGAGAATTTGACTAGTTTTTCGAGGTTTTGCTTGTTATTTTCATTGTAACTAAAGCAATTTTTTGATAAATATGTGTAAAAATCCCAATTGAATAAAAATCAACGGTACTAATTAACTAATTAACTTTTAAATTTATATTATTAAACAATACAATTTGCGTATTTTTATTATGTCTCAACTCCGAACCTGTTTAAAACAATCGTTTTTCAAAATAATTTTGAATTTCAACCTATAGTATCGATAAAAGTAATAAAATTGTATAAAATCCCTAAAGGATTTTTTATTTAGTCCTTAATTAACAAAGTAATTAATGTTTTTCATTTGTTTCTCAACTCCAGCTCTCTCAACTCCGGCCCCCGAAATTTTATTGAGCATGCGCAAGCTTCGCGCGAGCAGAAACGACACTCAACTACAGGGCCGTCATTCAGCTTTTCAGTTCCCTTGCGTTTAAGAAACTTAATTTTTTTTCTCTATTTTTATAAAAAAAAGCCGAGATAAATTTCTACAAAACAATTAATTTTTGCAAAGAAATTATTGTTTTGTTCTCGAAAAATTAAATATTAAAAATTTAATTACATGTCTGCGCAAAAACAATGGTGCCTGGGGCCCCGGCCGCCCTTGCTACGCTATTGCGCTGAAAGTACTACAATACATATTTATCGTTAAAATTACATTAAAAACGGTTTTTAAGCTCAAATATTTATTAGAATCACTTGTTCCAATCATAATTAATAAAAAGGATGCAATAAACATGTATTTTTAAATAATTTTGAAAAAAAATTCCTTATTCAAAAGTGACCCGTTTCTGGAGAATCACCCATATAATACGTCTTCTTAAAATCATTTTTCTTTTTGTCATTTTTTCCGTTCATTCAATTTTCATTTATACTCATACATTGTTTTTTTTCATCTTACACTCTGCGATTCTCTAATTTTACATGCTTGTATTTTTTTTTTTTAATTGTATTTTCTTTATAGACAAATTACGCATGGAGGTATCCCGATGGGTACAAAAAATTCTCCAATGTGAAAAAGTGTTTTTTTTTTTTTGGAAGAATTGCGTCAATGCGTTTCATATGAATGAAAACATTTTTTGCAATGTGAAGAAATGCAATGATTTAAGTGCGAAAAAAAAAATTGCATTATTTTGTCAATCGTGCTTATAAATATGTGGAACGGTATATGAGAAAGAAAATATATATGAAAAATTCTATATATTTATGTATATAGAAAAGGTATGTAATATATGTATATAAACTTGTAGTAATTTCTGTAGAAATTTTTTTTTCGCGAATGTAGGAAAATTGTTATAAAATTATGTAATGATAAATATATTTTATCCAAATATGCTTTTTCTTTTAAACACAAATTTAATTTTTTTTTTCGAATCAGGAAAATTATATTAATTTAAGTATTTTTTACATTGCCTAAACGATAATGAAATATAAATTCAAAAGTGATTCGAAACATATTTTAAATTTATATTTCATTATCGTTTAAGTTTATGTAAAAAATACGTAAATAAAAACGGAAAACGAGTATAAAAAAAAAATGATCAACAAAATTATATTAAAATGTGACTAAAATTATATACTTGGTGCTTTTATGACACAATAAGTAAATTAAAAAAAAAAGATATATTAATATTTGCAAAAAGAAATTATTTTTCATATAATTTTCGTGCATTCGCTTAAATAAAAAAAAAAATATTGGAATTTTTTCAGTAATGTTCCTTTTTTTTGTAAGGGATTTTTAAAAAAATAGTTTTTAAGTATTTTCACCATGTTGTAGTTATTAATACTGTCGAACTTTCTGTGTATGGGGTTTTGTAGATATAAGAAAATAGTTTCTAGCAATAGTAGCTTGTTAAAAGTATAGTTATTTTGCGTGAATTGTCAACATAGGAGATAAAAGAAGTATATTTATAGTTTTTTTATAATCATCGATTCGATGTTATTAGGCGCATTGTACATATAAGACACCTCCAATTATAATAGCAATAATATAAACGAGGCCAGCCAGTTAGGTAGACATTTTGCTCTATTGCAAATTGTCAATGAAAAAATTGTCCAATTACTGTGCTTGGCATCAAAAATTTTTTTTTGAATATTATAATATAACTAAAAATCGAGGGTTTGATCCGCTGATCCTTCAAGATCTTGGATCGAGTCTTCATCGTCATCTAAATCTACACCATTTGTCTTGAGTCCACCATTATTTATCTTGTTTATAATTGCATCTGCAAGTAGAAATGTTTTATTGAAATATATGAAAAGTTTCCAGTGAAATACACTTATATTTCAATTTTTCAACTTCCCTCAACGAGAAGCTGAGGATCCTATATAAATTTACCGTAGAATTTTTTTTTTTTGAAAATATCTATAATATTAATTTTATTTGCAAATTTTTGTGATTGATTCTTTATTTATTTACTTACCACAATCTGGCTTAGTGCCATGAACTCTTGTGCCTGCAAATTCAACTCCATGTAGATCAACACACCAACAGAGACCAAGTCCTCGATGACATTGAACATTTTTGTAATAACCTCTGGAATCACATGTGGGTGCAACGTCTGGTGCAAGACGCTTACGAACTGCTGCACAGGGTCTCTCAGCTTTTGAAAAACATCCACACCATTCTGGACCACTTATGAAAATGTCCCTGGAAAAAAAATTATTTTTAATTCACCTTTAAATTGCTAGATGCCAAAAAAAATCACGTTTACTGCTTTCTCGGTCTGTCAGACCGGGAAATGAAATCCCTACGGGTTAGTACACTGACTTTCATCTAATAGTGGTTGCGACCAAATTTTTAAAAAATCTAGTTTTAATATATGTGAAACTCGATGATTCCCTGAGTTCATTAACCATAATATTATGGTAAAAATTTTATTCCCTTTAAAAATATTAAATATCAAAAGTAGGAGGTTCACAATGTGATTTTGTAACCTTAAATTTTTCAATTTTTTTAAAAACCCTATTATTAAAAAACTATTAAAAATTAGATGTTGGAACTCACCAAAAACATAAATCACTTTATTCTGCACAGAGGAACGAAAGAATTATTGCAAAAATTTATTATTTTTGGATGATATACGATTTTAAAAAAAATTTTATTTAAATATTCTCAAGATTTTTATTTACTTATAACTTTTTTGTCGGTGCTCCGAAAAAATTGAGGTTTTGCACAAAGATTTTTTATAATATTATTTACCTTTCTTTAAAATCTTACGAAGGTGTTTTGCTTCGTTTTCGAGATATTAATTTTCAAAATTTTTTATTTAAAAAGGTTAATTAAAAGACTTGAAGTCAACTGACCAATTTCAAATCGCTACACTTTAATATATTTTTATAAAAAATGGAGCAGTTTGAATTTAGTTAGTTAACTTCAAGTCTTTTAATTAACCTTTTTAAATAAAAAATTTTGAAAATTAATATCTCGAAAACGAAGCAAAACACCTTCGTAAGATTTTAATAGAAGGTAAAGAATATTATAAAAAATCTTTGTGCAAAACCTCAATTTTTTCGGAGCACCGACAAAAAAGTTATAAGTAAATAAAAATCTTGAGAATATTTAAATAAAATTTTTTTTAAAATCGTATATCATCCAAAAATAATAAATTTTTGCAATAATTCTTTCGTTCCTCTGTGCAGAATAAAGTGATTTATGTTTTTGGTGAGTTCCAACATCTAATTTTTAATAGTTTTTTAATAATAGGGTTTTTAAAAAAATTGAAAAATTTAAGGTTACAAAATCACATTGTGAACCTCCTACTTTTGATATTTAATATTTTTAAAGGGAATAAAATTTTTACCATAATATTATGGTTAATGAACTCAGGGAATCATCGAGTTTCACATATATTAAAACTAGATTTTTTAAAAATTTGGTCGCAACCACTATTAGACGAAAGTCAGTGGACTAACCCCTACACATTACTAGAGATTTTTAGTTATATCTATTTATTATAATGATAAATATGTACAGAGTTTTCAAAAAGTATGAAAACTTGTAAATATCTCGAAAAGTACGAATTTTTGCAAAAAAAAATTTCAAGACAAAAGTTGTTCCAAACAAAAAAAATTTTTGTGTTTAAATATGTAGATCTTTTTGTTGGCAACAACTTTTGTATTGCACATTTTTTACCAAAATTCGTATTTTTCGAGATATTTACAAGTTTCCATACTTTTTGAACACCCTGTATAATAATTGTTTACTGTATTCTATTTTCCGTTCGCGAATATTTATTCTGCGTTAGCCATAACCAAAGTTTTGTTATTATTATTATTATTAAATTTATAATTCGAATAAAATCTCAAGTCTGAGAATGTAATATAATAATGTAAACTAAGGATAACTTCAAATAAAAATTCTTAATTATATTCAAAAATCAATGAAGAAAGCTTTTTAATCTTCGAAACTTTAATATTTTTATTAAAATAAAGAATTCTTTTGAAGTTATCATTATTTTAGTTTATTATATTTAATTCTCAAGATTTAGTCGACTTTCAATCGCAGCGCCTACATTGGTGGCGGATTCAGAAAGCTTTTTTTTTGCTGCAATGCGCGCGCCTTGACTAAACCATCTATGTATATTCTATGTCCTCGTTAAAACTATGTTTTTGATTGGTTGGTAATATTTCTTAAAAATTTTTTAGGTATCAGGAGAAGAAGTATTATTAAAAATGTGAAATTATTTTTACCATAAATCAGAAGAAATAATAATAAAAAAAAAAAAAAAACTAGAAAAATAGTGCCCGATAACGAATAATAAAAAGTGCCGAGAATTGGTTATATACGAAGCCAACACAACAGGTAAATATGTCATAACAATTTTCGTATCCTTTTCTTCATTCGTAATTTTTTTCATTTTATTTATGTATGTGAAGTTTATAGTATATCTATATATATTTTGGAAAAATTTAATCATTCACGCGTATAAGAAATACTTAAATCTGAGATAATTGATATAAACTTATTGATATATTTATTATGATATCTTTATAATATTTTTTTTTAATATCCATAGAAGTTGATTTGTGAAAGAAATCTATACTACACAAAAAAAAATACTTTACAAACTTTTTAAATCTTGAAGCATTTAGCTGTATAGCTATTTACGCAGATTTCATTTAAATTAATTTTAGAGCATAAAAGAGATTTTTAGTAAATTTTTAGAAGCCATTTTGTTGGTTTCCATATTTTATAAATTGAGTTTCACTTACTATTAACCGCCCCTTGACTAAACATAATTTGAATTGAGTCTCAATGTGTATACTAAGGTTTTCGGGGTCGCTGAATCCGAATTTGAGGTCAGATTTAAAAAATTCAAAATGTCGGACCCAATATGGCGTCCAAAAAAATTTTAAAATTGATTTGGTTTTCAAAAAAATGGTTCCTTAAGGGTTTTTTGGGGTCGCTAAATCCAAATTTGAGGTCAGATTTAAAAAATTCAAAATGGCGGACCCAATATGGTGATCCAATATGGCGGAAGAATTTAAAATTTATTCAATTCGTTCAAAATTCGGTACTTGGGGGTTTTTGGGGTCGCTGAATCCAAATTTGAGGTCAGATTTGGATTCAGCGACCCCAAAAACCCCCGAGTACCGAATTTTGAACGAATCGAATCAATTTTAAATTTTTCTGCCATATTTTTGGAAACTTTTTTTGGACCGTTTTGGATCCACAAACAATTTTTCTACTCGACTGCGAAGGGGTTAATTAATTTAAATTTTTCCATAATATTTGTAAACTAAGAAAATTATAATTTTGTAAAATAACATAAGACTAAAATGGAAAATAAATCAAAAATTAAATTTAATTAATTAAAATAGGGTAAGTGTACCAATTACGGCGCGTTCATAAAAAATAACTATTATTGCTATTCTATTTAATATAACTGTTGCCAAATAATTTAAAAAAATTCTTTCAATCTTTTTTTGATACAGTTACTTATAAAGATGCACGTTTAAACAATTATTAATTTAATTATTTGAGATTAAATTTTTTTCCGCGCCGCAATTGAAACATTTTTCAGATTTCCATTGGCTCCAATTTCGGCGGGCAAAGTATCATCAAAATACACGTAATTTTGGTCACCGAAACTGATACAAACACGCCGCAATAGAAAATTACGGTATTAGTTTTAATTTCACATATTTGTTTAAATAATCGCTTTTTATAAAGTTAAATTTTTTTTTTATATCTTAATAACATAAGCTTTTAGTTTAATAAATCTTAAATTGACTTTATAAAATAGAAATGTCGAATTTTCTATTTCAAAGGTGTTTTGACTCGAATCGCGCCGCAATTAGTGCATTTACCCTAAAAGGATTAAAAGAAAAGAATTAAAAAAAAAAAATTCTAAATAATTTTGTAGAGAAGTTTTAAGTAATTTTTTTTTTAAATTTCAAGAAAATTTTCAATTGACTTATTATATTTGAAAAAATGGTTTCCTAGTGCTTTAAAAATGCATATTACAAAGTTTGTAAAAAATAATTCCATATTCAAAAAATCATATTTTTTAAACTTTCTTTTTAAATAAACAATTGTAATTTTTATCAATTTTTTACAATGGAAACCTTATTTTTTGTTTGTTTTGGTTAAATAATATTTTTTTAAAAAAATATAAAAATTAAAAATTTTATATGCTCAATAACTTTTGAAGAAATCATTGTTAATAAAATTAAACAAACAAAATTGTATTGAATCTTTCAAAAAAATAAAATAAGCTATTATTTGTAAAAAAAAAAAAATTGGATAAAACTCATAATTGTTTATTAATTTTAAACAAAAGAATCAAAAATTTAAATAATTATTATTGATTTTGATTCAATTTTTTTTTTTAATTGAATAATTGAATTTTCCTATTTATTTTATTTTAAAGGTTTCTTTGTAATTAAAAAACTTAATTTTCCTCTGCCTTGTAAAATTAGCAGTAAAAAGTTTTTTTAAAAAGAATTAAATATACATTTTTTTTAAAGAATTATACGATTTCCATTATTAACTTTTGTAAGAGGGAGAATAATCATTGAACCAACTAATTTCACTAGTAACTTAATAATTATCTAATAATAATTATTTTTATAGTGAAAATGATAATTGTAATGTATATATTTAGTGTTAGAATTTTTTTTTAGACTTTTGAATAGAAATTCTTATGATATTCTAAAAGTATAAAAATAGAATATCGAACTATTTTCTGCATATATATTATGTTTTCGTATTGAATAAATTATATAAACATCAAAGAACTTACCCATCTGTATCACATGAATCAAAGAACGGTTTTAGACAAGGTTCGTTTTGATCGTGTTCTAATTGGTAAAGTTCCGAAAGTGAAATTAGACCACTACTGTCAGAGTCCAAATGACCGAACATCCACCTCACTTCGCTTTGGCATCCTGGTGGGAAATGTCCTATAAATTGAAAACAAAATACGATTTTGTCAGTTACTATATAATTTATATGAAGGGTTTCAGGTGAATTTATTTTTTATTTTAGTATAAATGTTATTTTACGAAATTAGTTTTTTTAGTTTACAAATTATTGAAAATTTAAATTAATTCGTTGTGAGGAAAAGTTAATTTACAAAATATTGAAACTCACAAAGTTGCTTCTACAAATTTTATGAAAAATTTTTTTTGAGCTTAAAAATTAGTTTAAATAAAACTTGCATAAAAAGTGCATCTGAGCTAAAAGTTGTAATAATTTACGAAGCTGAAGTACGCAACGTTTATGATAAACGTTTTTTAAAGAAATAATTTTTTAAAATGAAAAATTCAATAATTCTTTGCCTAAAAAATATTTTTTGTAGTTTTTGTTAATCAACAAATTATAAAAAAAATATTTTTTAGGGAAAAAATTATAAAATTTTTCATTTTAAAAATTATTTCTTTAAACATTGTTTATAATAAACGTTGCGTATTTCAGCTTCGTAATAATTTGTAAAAAAAAATATTTAACTGATTTTAATTTATGTTAATTAACATTTAATATGTATATAAACTTTTTTATCTTAAAATATCTTTTATTTTTTAGAGAATATTATTTTAAATTTATCACCCGGCGGTATTGAATAAATTAAGATGATGATATCGAACACTTCGATTCAGGTTAAATTGAAGAAATAAAAGATATTTTTTTTTTTTTTTAATTTAACCTGACTCTGAGTGATTGATATCATCATCTTAATTATTAATTTTTTAGAGTTTTTTGGAATTTTTAAAATTTGACTTTTGTTTATAATTAGCGAATCAAAAAAAATAAATAAATAAATAAGTTTCAAGCGAATCTGAGTAAATTTTGGAAAAGTACGGCATTTTGAATTTGTGTCATATTTTAAACTTTTGGTAACGTTTCCAAAAACACCTGGAAAATAAGTTTCATTCTTAGTGGAAATTTTTGAAAAATTCTTTTGATCTTCTGAAATTTTTTGGAATTTTGATTTTTGAAGTTATATCTCTGTATTAACATACTCTCTAAATCTGAATTAGTAAAAATTTTAACTAATTTGAATTAATTATTGACTTTTTACTTTCGAATTAATAAAATTGTACTAATAGTAAAAATAAAAATTTTTCTACCAGGGAATTGGTAAAATTTAATTAATTCAAAAGCAAAAAGTAAATTACTAATTCAAATTAGTTAAAAAATTTTCATCTAGTGACCTATATATATATTAAAAAAAAAGTCGCCGAAATTGGAGATAAAATTCGATTCGCTTTGTCATTAATGGGTCAATCCATTTATAAATATATGTTGGTTTTAAAGTTAATATTTAATGTATACACCTTTGTATATTTTTAGACATCAGAAAGTGGTTGCAGATGTAGCTTTTAACCCTTTTAAATTTTTCATTAAGCGACAAATATAGTAGTTGAAAAGGATTCATTTTTGAATATTGTAATATATATATTGTATTCTACGCTAAAGTGTAAGTTCATCTGGAATTGCATCTCCGATTTTTTTGAGATTTTTTTTTCTTTTAGTACTAATTGAGACTAGCTTCCATGAATTTTTTCAAATTTTTTTAGCAAGCCGTTTTCGAATTATGGAATTTTGAAAATTGGAGAATTTTCATGACTTTTAATTTTTGAATACTCATAACTTCCTTTAAATGCATCAATTTTAAAAGTATTTTTTTCAAAATGTGTGTTTTAAAACGTACCTTTCAACAAAAAAAAAATTGAAAATTTTTTTTAAACGATATTACTATCAAATTTTTGAGTTTTAATGATAAAAAGTCATTTTTCTCATTTAACGTACTGATGAATTTTTTTCAAAAAAACTACTTCTTTTTACGAAACTTTTAAGCCTAGCCCGATAATGGGCAAACGATTTTTACAATATTTTCCGAATTTTTCAAAAATATTTTTGGTTTTTTTTTTATACTACGTACTTTTTTGTATTTTGATGCGCTGATTACGAAAATCATAGTGACAATACCCAATAATTTGATTTTTATGGTGAAAACCATAAAAAAAGTCCATAAATTTATGGTTTTTTTTCGTTTATTAGGAAAAATATGCAAAATTAAAAAAAAAATGCATCAGATATAAAAAATGTATTTTAATAAGATCTATAACTTTTGTTTGAACATTTTTTTTTAATTTTGCATATTTTACCCAATAAACGAAAAAACCATAAATTTTGGAACTTTTTTATGGTTTTCATTATAAAAATCAAATTATTGGGTATTGTCAGTATGATTTTCGTAATCAGCGCATCAAAATACATAAAAGTACGTGGTATAAAAAAAAACCAAAAATATTTTTGAAAAATTCAAAATTAAAAAATTTTTGAAAAATTCCGAAAATATTGTCAAAATCGTTTGCCCATTATCGGGCTAGGCTTAAAAGTTTCGTAAAAAGAAGTAGTTTTTTTAAAAAAAATTTTGAAAAAAATCGATCAGTACGTCAAATGAGAAAAATGACTTTTTATCATTAAAACTCAAAAATTTAATAGTAATATCGTATGGTATGGTTTTTATTACCATTTGTTACTACCATTAGAAATTAATTTATTGTTAAATATGTCAGTAACCATATTTTTGTCCAAAGAAAGCAGAAATAAGGTTATTAAAAAGTCAGGGAAAAATCGAAAAATGTCAGGGAGGAGTCAGGGAAAAGTCAGGGAATTTTTTTCTCAATTCTTATTAGACACCCTAATATATATCTTTTTGGTGAATTGTAATTCACAAAAAAAAAAATTATAGAAAAAAAAATCGATTTACCTTTTGGTTTTGAAAAGGGACGACGATGTTGTTTTGCGTCAGTCATTAGAACCGAAAACCAATCAAGAAGACGATTGGCCATTGCCGGTTTAGAAGCAGGCGAGCAATCTTCATCTTTTGTAAAGTCCATATCATAAGCCGGTTTTAGAGGCGGTAATGATGTCTTTTCCGTAATCTCGTTGCTCGTAAACTGCTTGTCGTCGTATCGTTTCATTGAAGCGAGTGCCTGTAAGTCAAAGAAAAAGTTGAAAAGCTTTATTATATCTTCCCTCATTCTTTTTCTCTACTTTCAACTTTTGACAGAAAAGAAGACTATATACTTTCTTCTACGGTAACTCCATCATAATTTGACACAATCCTTCTCTTCCTCTTCTTCTTCTTCTTCTTTTCATTCTCATCGTAATAAAGACTTACACGTATATATATATATATATATATATATATATATATATTTCTTATTTGTGATGTAGTTCCGGATATTATTTTTAGAGTAGCTGTTTTCCTCAAGATAAAAAAAAGAAAATAAAAGTTATATGTTCCTCCATGATATCTATAATTATTCAACGTCATTTTGGAAGGAAAATTGAAAATATATTTCTTATAGCTTTAGAAAGTCATTTCATTAAGATCAAAGAAATTTGTTTTCTTAGTTTTTTTTTTTTTTTTTTTAATGGGTGCAAGTGTAATCAATTTTGGTGAATTTTTTTAAGGCATAATTTTCAGTATCAGTACAAAAGGTCCAATACTTAGAATGTCCAAAATACAAAAAAATATATATAATGTATATTTTTAAATACTGTGAATTGTAAACAATTTTTCATATATATTTAAGAGGAGGGACCACTGAAATTTCAACCTTTCGAAATTTTATTATTTTTTAACGATAATTTTTTTGTAGGCTTTTTTCATAATTCTGAACAATTATTCGTATGAATTTTTAAAGATTGTAATATTTGCAAAAAATAAAATTTCTAAAATGGTAAAAAAAATTTTTTTTTAAATTTTGACAATTCACAATAATTTTAGATCCCAAATAATGCCAGAATAAAAATTGACACCCCTTAACAACATTAATTTCGATGAATTAAAATTACACCGGTCCCTCTCCTTAAATGACAAAAATAGTTTTAAAAAAAATTTAAACCCTTCTTTTTTAAAATTAAAACTATTTTAATTGTTTAACTTAATTGGACAATAATTTTTACTCTTTTTTCTGTTTTTATTGGAAAGCTGAGATTTTTGTGATTAAAAAGTATAAAAGTTAAAAAGTTATAAGTATGATAAAAATTTATGTATTTTTTAATCTTTTTTCGAAACCCAATCGAAATTCCAAATACATCTTTATACATATATTTTATTGGATAAAATCTCAGCTTTCCAATTAAAGTAAAAAATTGAAAAAATATTGTTCTTTTGGATCAAAACTAAAAAATAAATACTAAAAAAAAGTTAAAAAGTTCTTTTTTACAAATATTTCTCTATAAAGTATTGAAAATTACATAAAAAAGTTTACAAAAAAATAAGTTATATAAAAATAAAAAAAATAAATAAATTTATGTTAATCATAAGATCCGAATATCTGTAATATAAATTTTATTGATTTTAATTTTTATCGAGTTATTTGAAGGATTTTTCAATTTTACGCAATCGGACAATATTTTCTTTTTTTTCTTTATTTCCATTCGAAGCTAATATTATTTTTAATAACATAATGTATAAATGAAACTGAGACGGTAATGAATTTGCGAAAAAATCCAAGGGAAATATAATAAAAGCTTTAAGCGAAGGGACCAGTGAAATTTTAATTCTTCAATTTATTGTTGTCTATTTACAACAATTTTTTTCTGGCATTATTTATGATCTAAAATTGTTTTAAATTATTGAAATTAAAGAAAAATATTTTTATCAATCATAGAATTTGTATTTTTTTTAAAAATTGAAAATATTAAAAACCCATACGAATGATTGTTTAGAACCATAAAAAAGTATATATAAAAAAATGTCAGTGAAAGATAATTAAAATTGTAAGAGAAGATCAAATTTTAAGTTTTTAAGAATTTCGAGTTCTATTTAAAAAATTATTAACTGAGTTATATGTTATTTTAATTTTTCATAACATATTATATTTTTAAATATTCAATATTGTCAGAAAATAAATTAACAGCCCTAAACAGCATAAATTTCGATAGATTGAAATTTCACCTGTTTCTCTCCCCTTAATTTTTTACACATTTGATTGAAAAAATCTCAGCTTTCTAATAGAAATAAAAAAAAGTTAAATTATTTGTCTAATTGGGTGAAAACTGAAATATAATTCGATAAAAATTAAAATCTGTAATTTATTATTTTTGTCATAGTTATATGAATTTGTAAATGATTGTGTCACTTAAAACGTCAAAACTTTAACCCTATTATTATTTTCTATAATTTTTTTTTAATTTATTAATATTTTTGAAATTTTTCATCCTCACATATAGGGAAGAGATTTACCAATGTTTCAAGCCAATTCAATAACTTTTAATTTTCAACTGGTATACGTTTGAGAAAAATTGTCCCATATATTATGTTTTTAATGCTTTTTTATTTAGTTTCATAAAACTCTTCTATTTTTTAGTTTAAAATTTTCGGTGAAAATTATTTCAAAACTGAAAAAACCCCGGGGATTTTAAATTATTTAACTACTAAATACAATTTCCAGTCAAAAAGTATATATGTGAGGCAAAATTTCTGAAGTGATCCAACTTTAAAATTGAAGATTTTCAGATCGGCCTGAAATTTGCACAAACTTTAGTACTATGAGTGAGTACTTCACCCACAAATTATTATTAAATTTCATGCAAAACTGTAGAGGGGGGAGAGGATTACAATTTTGGCATTGCATTTTTTGAAAAATCATAACTATTGTATAACAGGATGAAAAAAATTTTCACCTGTATGATTTCGAAAGATTTTTTCCTGCTCTTTCGAATGGTGGAAATTTTTTTTTTTTAAATTCAAAATTTACCCTTTTTTTGAAAATCAAAAATATTTCTAACTTTTTTTAATAAAGAACATTATTTTTTTTTTTGACCCTCAAAATGAAGCTTAATGAAATATACTTTCGATACCAAAAAAAAACAAGAATCACAAAAAAAACCTAGTCTCATTTTTGTTGCAACTCAAAATGAGCTAATGCTAAACGACATAGACAGTGGCGCCACCAACCTAGTACATTTTTGTTGCACTTCAAAATGAGTAGCGTACCGTACTCATGTTGAGACCAGGTTTTTTCTGTGATGTCGTTTTTTTTTGTTTTCGAGATATTAATTAATTAATTTTTATAACAAATGATGTATTTTACAAACAAAGTTACCGTAATTCTGAAGTTACCAATTGAAAGTTAACGTAATTCCGCATCCAACGAGCCCTATATGTTATGATTTTTCAAAAATGCAATGCTCACATTTTGGCAATTGGATCACTTCAGGAATTTCGCCCCATGTATAATTAATAAAGGGTCATAAAATAAAATCTTAATTTAATGTATAAATAATAATAAGAATTAATACCCTTGATAATCGAATTTTGCATAATATTAATAAATTTTGTACTTCATAATTTATGTCAAGACAAAATTGTGGATGATAATAGGAATCGTAACTGTTAATTTGATTATAGTAGTTATACATACTTTAGAACTTCTAAAAATTTAACATCCTAAAACCTTTGAATATTCAGATTCATTGTCGAAATGGATATTGCTCAGTCAAATTGAAATAGATTCCTGTGGGTCGTATATATATATATATATATATATATTCCCCAATTCTCGCTTGACAAATTATACATTTGTCTGAATTTACATTTATCTGAATTTTCATTTGTCAAAAATTATATATATTATATTCGTTATAAACATTTTAGTGTGACTTTAAAAATTAACTAATTACAATTTTCATTAATTTTAAAATTTCCTTTAAATTGCTTATCTATACGCTAAGAAAAATATGCTATTGAATCAACAATATTTCTGCTAAAAGTATAAAAAAATATTGTTTCAAAAGCACATGACATGGAATATATATCATGTTTTCTATAGAATATGCTTTTCAATCAATAATTTTATGCCTTTGGCGAAAGAGCTTTAGATTCAACAGCATATTTTTCATTTTGAGTTATGAAGTTATGAAAACCCATATTCTAGTACTAAAAATTTTCAAATTCAATTTTTTTTTATATATCCATATTTTTTGACACCAGGAACACAAAAATCACATTTTCAAAAAAATGTTATATTTATACATTAATTTTTCATAAATATCTCGAGTTCCTTAAAAGCTAAAGGAGTTATTTTTTTTTTAAATTGTAGGTCTCTCTGGGGGAAGAAAAAATGAGAGTATTTTGATCCCGATTAATCAAGTATAAATATATATATTTTTTTTGAGCTTCTCATTTCTCGAAAAAACGTTTTTTGACTATGACTAAAAAAATGTTTCTTCCATGTTATACAATTTTTTGAGACGCATCTTTTGATCTGTTACAGCCATGCAATCCAAAGTTATTAATATTTTAAGAATAATAAATTGTGAAAAAAGCGACTGAATTTTTTTGTCATTAAATTTTGATGTAAGTTTAAATATATTGCATACATTTTATAGACGCTTTAAAAATTTATCGATTGACCTATTTTTCAACTTTTTTTGATCTAAAATTTATTGACTTAAAAATTTTTTAAATAAGTTCCATTTTTAAGAGTTTTAGTTTTTATTTCTTATTTAAACTTTAATATGATTAAAGAATAAAAAAAAAATCTCCATGGCGAAGTAAAGTGTGTTTATGAAACGAATACAAAAATTCATATTTCAATTTGTTATCAATTTTTGAGATTTAGGTCAAAAGTTTCAAATTTTTTAGTCATTAATTACTAATTTCGAGTCAGGTTTAAAAAATTCAATAAGACGTATCAGATTATTTCTTTGTAATTTTGAATAAATGAAAATTCTGATGTACAGAAATTTGGGACAAATGAAATGTGTTTTGGTAGTATACATCTTATTCTAAAACGAGAAAAGATTTTTATCTAAAATTTTCAGGGATGATAGATTTGGGTACAAGGAATCTCACTGTTCTCCGAAAAATACATAATTTTGCGTTAAATTATTAAAAAAATGAAGTTTAAAAAGTGGCATTTTTAAACGAAAATGAATGAACTATGATAAAACACATTATTTTACTATTTATTGCTTTTTTTATTATTTTTGCGTTAAGTTGTAATAAATGAGTAGAACAGCGAGATTCCTTGTACCAATTTCTCCAAAATTTTAACAAAAAATTATTTTTTATTTCAGTGAAAGTTTCAAACCACAAAAAAACGTCCTTTGCCCACATACCCTTAATTGAAAAAATTACACTGTTACAAAAAAAAATATGACTTCAAAAACTTCTTATCGGACCTAGTAGAGTTTGTAGAGCATACAAAACTGAAAAGAATGGTGTATATTTAATTGCTTATATACATTCTCAAAATTTGATTTTAGAGACGAAAAACCATTTGTTGTTAAAAAATCCATGTAAATTCCTTATTTTTTGCCCTATTTCAAATTTTCTTTTTTAATTTTTAAGCTGAAAAACAGATCTTTGCCACTGTATAAAGGATTTTTGTTATATCTTCTCAATTGATGACGATAAAGACCAAATACTTTAAAAAATTTCGATTTTTTATTGATTTTTCAACTTTTTGTTCAATTTGTAACTGTTATCTGATGAAATATAGGGAGACTGGGGCTATTTTACGCAGGGGTTGCTTGGCGCACTTGAGTTTATTCAAAAGTGTTAAGTTACATTAATTTTTCTCTTTATTCTGCTTAAAGTACTTGATGAACTGTAAGTTTGTACAAAATTTCATTAATATTCATTAATTATTGTGGAGTATAGATTAAAATAACTGATTTTGGCACTCCAAAGTAATTTTTTAACCTCTTCATTTTTTTGTGATATCTCTTTAAAAAATTAATTTTAGAAGAGCTCAAATATTAAGTTTTGAGCTCTTTACATTTGTTATTAAGAAACAAAAAAAATTTTTTGATTTATATTAATAGTTTTTATAAAAAATTAATAAATATTTCAAAAGTACATTCGGGGTTAGGGGCCATACTTTAATTACGTAACGCTTTTTCTTTGAAAATTGAACCCCCTCCCCCCGTATGTAATAGATTTTTGTATACATTAGCGCCATTTTTTTGCTGTGTGTAACAACTATAGCTTGACCCCCCCTCCCCTAAAAAGCGTTACATAATTAAAGTATGGTCCCTTAGGTGGCGCGGTTATCTGAAAATTTCGTTAAATATTATAATAAAATGAAGTTTATTATATGAAATTTACACATTAATGAGCACCAATAACAATCCTATTCAAAAAAATTTAACCAAATAATGGTTTTTAAATATTCACAGCGTTATTATAAAAAAAAATATATTTTTTGGTAATTTTACGATTTAATTTAAATGAAATTTTCTAATTTTTAAATTTAAAATAATTTTATTGTAAAATTACAGTACAATACTTATTTTGTTAAGTCTTATATTATTTAAACTTTAAATCATATAATTTAATTTTAATTCCACACCTGCGCCATGCAATCCCGGGCCGGGGTTTTTCACAGCTTCAAATAAAGTGGTATAAAAATAAAAGTATTAAATATATTTCAACTTTCTTTTTTTTTTAATTAAAGCTGATATGTTACAACAAGTTTTCTATGCATTAACTTTTTAAAAAAAGCAAAAATGAGTGAGTTACACAACAAAGAGTAAAAAGTGCGCCAAGTAACCCCGGTCGCCCCTACCTTCTTTCCTTTTACACATCGAAAGTGTAGTCAATTCTGCTTCAAATGACCCCTAATCGGTTAGAATTAATTAAAATTTGTCTAAGTTAGCAGACTTTTTATTTTATAGTCACATTAGGTTTCATGCGTGATTTATAGTTTTTTTTAATTTTTATAAAATTTAATAGATGTGACTACAAAATTAAAAGTCTGCTAACTTAGACAAATTTTAATGAATTCTAACCGATTAGGGGTCATTTGAAGCAGAATTGACTACATTTTCGATGTGTAAAAGGAAAGAAGGTATATTTCATCAGATAACAGTTACAAATTGATCAAAAAGTTGAAAAATCAATAAAAAATCGAAATTTTTGAAACTATTTTGTCTTTATCGTCATCAAAATTCTTTATACAGTGGCAAAGATCTGGTTTTCAGCTTAAAAATTAAAAAAGAAAATTTTGAAATAGGACAAAAAATAAGGAATTTACAAGGATTTTTTCACAAAAAATGGTTTTTCGTCTCTAAAATCAAATTTTGAAGGTGTATATAAGCAATTAAATATACACCATTCTTTTCAATTTTGTATGCTCTACAAACTCGACTAGGTCCGATAAGAAATTTTTGAAGTAATATTTTTTTTGTAACACAGTGTTTTCTAAGCATGAGCACCCATCTGAAATGACACGTTTTTCTTTCACCTTGATTTCACTTCACATGAAATCCCCATATATAAATGATTACACATTGTATCTTTCGAATAATTATAAATTTTTTAATTAATGGAATTATTAACTATATGTTTTTGTTACCTTGGCACGTTTGGAGTATTTGAGGTACTTATAATGATGATTGTCATAGTTGAAGTCACGTGGCGTTAGAGTGATGTCACGATCTCGATTCATCTTGCCAAGTAGAGATTGCTTTTGTAGTTGTAATTTTTGCATTTTCTTCAAGTGTGAAGGCAATGGATGGACGGACTCTATAGTTAAAGAATAATTACAAATTTATGTAGTACATGAAAAATCTTTTTGTATATATATATAAATATCAAAAAGAAAATTTTCTATAGCTTTTAAAGCCAATGTTAAACATTGAATTTTTTCATTTGAACATTTTTTTTTTTTGTTTTATTGTTTGAAAAAAAAGATACCTTTACACGGACAGAATCCTTTGCAACCCAAGTAAACATATGTGCGATGTATACAATTATGATATTCTATACGACAAAGCGAGCTGTAGGTTCGATTGTCACTACCGCAGATGAATGAGGGCTTCACAACGGGACAATCTTGACACCTAAAAAAGAATGGTGTAAATAGTTATTGTTTGGGAATTTCAAAAAAATAGAGCTGATTTTTTTTTTTTTTTTCTTTTTGTAGTCGAAATCAAAATATTTTGATATATGTATGAATATTTTAATTAATTAATTTCTTATTATTAATTTTAATAAAGAATTATTATTAGGTTGATCATTTTTATATAATATCTGAAATAATTTTAATTATTTTTAATGAGGCATTAGTCTCATTTCTCATTTTATAAGTTAATATAATATTATGAGGAATTCTATTTTAATCGTTCCGTTTTGTTGAACCTTTTTTAAAAAAATTGTAATGCTTATATTGAAACCCACATTGGGAGGAAACTAATTAAATAAATTTATTATATATAATTTTTATAATTCGAATTATATATTTTTTAGTAATATTAATGAATAATGAAAACTGTTTTACATATGAATAAAAAGAATATTAAATTAAAAAGGCAAAAGGAAGGATTTTTAAAAATAATAAAGTATTAAATCTATACTTGATTATATAATAAATTTTTTATATATTCAGAAAACTTAGGGGAGGGATTCACAATTTTTTAAATTTATATATTTTTTTAATTTTCTACTTTAAATGTAAAAAAAGTTCTTTTTTGTAAATTGTAATTTTTATATTAAAAGGTTCAATTAAAAGACGATTGTAGGGAGAACGAAATTTATTTATTTATTTTTTTTTTAATTAATTTTATTTTATAACAATGAAATTATTTATAATTTTTTAAACATTATTTCGAAAGAGAATTTAATACTCTTTGAATTGCTATTCTAACATTTTAAAATTTTTCTCAATTTCATAAAGAAATTCTAGTTTGAAATTTAAAATACTTGATATCTCAAAACACTCTTCTCCCCTATTTACTTAAAATCTATATAAAAAATAAGCTTTAGATTTTCTAGTTTCTAGTTCCATATATTTTATTATGGACATTTTCGATGATTGAAACATTTAAATGATGGAAATAAGGATTTTTTGAAAAATTTCACAAGTTGAATTGAAGTTGAATTCCAATTTATGTCCAAGTCGATTTTCATTGTATTTTTTTATAATTTGGAAACGAAATACAATCTGTATGAAAATAATAAATTTACAGAGAAGAGAAATATGAAATCAACTTTATTCCACTATTTTTTTTACAGTAATTCTGGTAGATTAAATTTCAAATTCACTGTTCAAAATTAATTGCCTTTTTTTATTGACAAAATGAATAAAAAAGAGCCGCTGAAATTCGACTCTGGCGTAGATTAAAATTCAAAAACTCCTTTTTTTGGATCATTTATAATTTTTGAATTATTTAACATGTCTAGAATAAATGGTATGAAACTAGAAAATAGAAAATTTAAAGCTTCCTTTTCATATAAATTTCAAGTAAAAGGAGAAGAAAAGTATTTTGACATATCAAGCATTTTAAATTTCAAACTATAATTTTTTTTATGAAATTGAGAAAAATTTTAAAAAGTGAAAATATCCATTTAAAGAGCACTAAATTCTCTTGCAAAATAGTATATAACATATTATAAATAATTTCATTTTTATAAAATAAAATTCAATGAAAAAACGTTCTCTTTGCAATCGTCTTTTATAGATGAAACAGTTTGATATAGAATGCCTTATATATCTTTAAAAAATAAATAAATAAAATAATTTTAGATATAAAATTATGATTCTTACTTTGATTCGTCTTGATCTTCTTCATCATCCTCCGAATCAAAAAATGCATCATCATCATCCTCTGTATCTTCTGATGATTCCGTTCGCATTCTTCGTTCCTGAAGAACTCGTGATTTAGGGATCACTACATCTCTGAAATATATTGAAAAATTGGTTAATTTTAAAAAAACATTATTATAAAAGATATAGATACGATTGGATTAAAATTTTTTAAAATAATTTTTTCATATTTAGTAGGATTTTATTTTTTTTATTCAGTTGACCTTCCAAAGGTCTAAGAATTTCTAAAATTTTTAGCAATTCACTCTGCACAAAATGAACAGAATTGTTCTTTCGCTTAAGTTTATTGAAACCAGAATTTTCTACATTTTGGTATTCTGATTAAAATAAAAAAAAAATTCTACCGTTTCATTAAATTGAGACGCACGAATAAGTTGTAAAAATTATTTTTTTTTTAATTTTCAATTGACAAAATTTTATTACCTAAAATTTACTTTTAGCAGAATTTTTATTTCTTCGAATTATTATTTAACAGAAATTCCATTTAACCGAATTATTATTTAACATAATTTTTAATTAATTAAATGAATTTTCGGTTCAGTAAAAATTCATTTAAATGGAATTTCTGTTAAATAATAATTCGAAAAAATCAAAATTCAGTTTAAAGTTAATTGTAATAAGTATAATAAAATTCTGTATTTTGAAAATTCTACCAAATTATTTTTAGAGTTTATTTATGCGCCTCAATAAATTTGGGGCGCATGATTATCCAATAAAAATCATTAGTTAGAATTTTCATTTTCAGCAAATTTATTAGATATAATTATTTTTTAGACAAATTTTCATTTTTCGAATTAGTCAGAATTTATTATTTTTTTTTAAGAATTTTTAATTAACAGAATTTTTAGGCACCGAATTTTTATTTGGTACAATTCTTAAAACGCCAAATTTTTATTTGTCGGAAATTGCAAATGGCCGAACAAACAATCGACAGAAATTTTCGGCGCGATTTATAAAATCCACCAATCACAATTTTCTTGACAATTTTTGATTGGTGAATTTTAAACATCACACCGTAATCTTTCTGTCGATTATTTGTTCGGACAAATAAAAATTCGATTCATAAGAATTCTATTAAGTGAAAATTTGTTAAAAAAAAAATTTTGTCAAATGTTAATTGGAAAAATAAAAATTTGTCTAAAAAATAATAATATCTAATAAAATTATTTAAAATGAAAATTTTAACTAATGATTTTTATGGGATAATTTTGCGCTCCATAAATTTAAGGCCATGTGGGAAAAATACGTTTTTCAGAACTCAAAAATTTTCTCTAAAATAAAAAAAGATTATGGGTTAAAATTTTTGAGGAATGATAGAGAACGGTAGCAGTAAATAGTGCGGGGCCCTTTATCAAATGTATTAAAAAAAAATTTTTTTTAATAAATTTAATAAAAAATAATTAAAATAATTTTTTTTAATTTAAAAGTAAATATATAAAAAATTTTATTTAATTAAAAACTTGAAAATTGGTTATAAATTTTTGTTAAGCATTTAAAATAAAAAAAAATTAACATCCATTATGTAAATTGTTTTTTTGTAGACGTATAAAGTGAAGAAATTTTTTGTTTTATATGAAATATTGTTTGATAAAAATTATATGTATGTAAAACATCAAAGGAAAAAATAAAAACTAGTTGACTGTTATATACATATATATATACAGTCAATAAATTCTCAACATATTCCGAGTTCTCAAACATTGGAAAACTTTAGTCGAATACAAATTTTATTTTGAAAAACATAGTTTACCCTGATTTGTGAAGTTCCTTTTTAGAGACGCATACTGCTGTGAATGAGTCTGCCAAAAGGCAAATTTCCTTCTTTTTACAGTTGAGCGGACGACAAAGTTCACCTGATTTATAAGAAAAAGAAACAAAATTCGTTACATCTTGTATGAGTTCAGTATTTTTTTTTTTTTTTTTTTTTACAAAAACGATATTTCTGAAGTTTTAAAATTTTCAAGTGAAAATAAAAATTTTCACAATATATAATTTTGTATAATTTTAATAAGAATTTTATAATAAATTTATATAATAATAATTTATATAATATATAGATTATAATAAATTTATATAATAATTTTAATATAAATTTATGTATATAAAATATAAATTTTTTTTTATTATGAGTAATTTCATCAACATTAGAACTCAAAGAATACCAAATATTTGTAAAAAAGAAAACTTTTTTTTGATAAACTAAATTATTTGGAATAATTATTGTTCAAAAAGTTAAAAGATTAAATTTTTTTTTTAAATTGTAATTTTTTTTAAATATTGAAAAATGTTTAATATTTATATTAGAAACTTTTTAAAGTTTATAGTACTTTATAAATGTCAAATATTATGTTTCCTTTTCAAAAAACATGAATAATCGTTAAATGTTTGTAAAGTTTGAATATATAGAAATTTTAAGTTCTTGACATTTGCCAAGTAAAGTTATAAGAAACAACTTACTGTTTGGATCGTATATCCATCGTTTTTTATCGCCTGATTTTACAATTCGTGTATCATCCTGAAAAACATAAAAAAAGTGGTTGAATACAAAGTGACTGGATTTTATTCACTGTAGATGGATCAATGTCGTTTTATTGTTGTCTATATTCTAAAAATACTTTACAATAAAAAAAAAATGACAATCACAGGAGAAACTCTATAGACAATTTTTTGTTTGCATAAACGATGACACAATTTACATTCACATGCAAATATTAAAATTAACTTTTAAATCCAATTTTGTGTGAAATTTGACAAAAAAAAATGTATACATTATAAAATGAAGAATGTACGTTTTAAAATGTTTTGATTCACTACGGTGCACCAGAAGGAGGTTTAAATAAAAATGAATTGGCACCTAAAAATTCTCTTTGATTATGGTTCTAAGATGAATAAAAAACTTTTCTTAATAGGTTTTAAAATCAGCTTACGTGCCCAATTTAAAACAAATTGAGTTTTAAATATTTAAAAATAGTGTTTTATGAGGAACCAGAATTTATTTAATGTATATTTATATGCGTATAGATAATAGATGTTTTAGATTTGGGTTCATATAAATTTATTAACAATGAAGTTATTTTCTTGTTTCGTTTTTATATTTATGCATTAAGAGTGTCGAACGGTATCTGAAATTCTTTGGCAAGAAGAGAGCTTTAATTATCGCTTTCAACGTGAAATAGTATTGATTTTAAAATACTTTTTTCTCGAAACACGAACACTTTTAACAAAATCGGACAAAATCCTCATCTTATAAATTTCCTAAATCCAAAAGACTGTACGAATCCATAGAAAAACATGGTTGCAAAACAAAAAGTAGAAAAGTAATCTAATAACAGCTGCGACTTTGTGCGCCCTGCATGCTGCTGCCATCTGACGGCGGCAGGAGGTAATGAACCCCTGATTATATTACTTTTCGTTTTGCAATCGTGTTTTTGTATGAATTCGTATAATCTTTCGGATTTAGGAAATTTATATAAAATAAGGATCTCTAGCTGCTTTTGTAAAAAGTGTCCGTCTTTCGAGAAGAAAGTATTTTAAAATCAATGTTTATCATTTTCACGTTTAGTGCCGTATTTATAGAGCGATAATAATTAAAGGTCTCTTCTTGCCAAAAAAATTTCAGAGATCATTCGACTCTCTTAAATAAATTTTATCACTCTTAAAATCGTTCTTTTAACATTAAAATTTAATTTTTCAAAATTGAACACAAACACTACAGCAATATAATTATTTATATGTAAAATTGAAAATAAGTAATTATTTTATCATTTATTACAGTATTTATTAGATTAAATAAATTCTGATTCCCCATTATCATTTGTCCGAATTTGCAAATGTCCGAACAAACAATCGACAGAAAGATTTCGGCGCGAATTTTAAAATCAACCAATCAAAAATTATCCATAAAATTGTGATGGGTTGATTTTTTTAAAATCGCGCCGAAATCATTCTGTCGATTATTCGTTCGGCCATTTGCAATTTGGAATAAATGAAAATTCTATCAATTAGAAATTTTGTTAAATGATTTTTTGGTTAAGTAAAAATTCTGTAGTATGAAAAATCGGTTATATGGAAATTATATGAAATAATAATTCGAACAAATGAAAATTGATCTGAAAGAAAATTCTATGCAATGAATTTCTACCCAAATAAAAATTCTTTAAAATGCCTATTACGTTAAATGAAAATTTGAGCAAATAAAAATTCTGACAAATAAAAATTCAAACAAATAAAAATTCTGTGAAGTGAATTTTTGGTTATATAAAAATTCTGTAATATAGAAAATCGGTTTGATGAAAATTCTGCACAATACTAATTCGAAAAAATAAAAATTCGGCTCATAAATAATTATGATAAATGAAATTCCATAAAATGAAAATTCTAACGAATGATTTTCAGAACATAATCATGCGTTCCTTTATATAAGGCTCATATGCGATAAATTTTATTTGATGTATTTCCTATTTGACATAAGTCATATTTGGCATAAAACTCACTTATCACAATTTTCATTTGAAATGAATTTTATTTATCTTGACTTTTATTTTGACATAAATATTAGTTGTTATAGTAATAACCTATTTGCCATAAACGTATTCATATAAATTTATTGCAACTAAAATTTATGTCGTTAGATAAGTTTTATGTCAAGTTACATTTATGGATATTATCGTGATTTTTGGTAAATTGAGTATTAATACTAAATATAAGTGAGTTTTATTATGTCAAATAATACTTAAGTTGAAAATGTTTATGTCCAATGAGTTTTATGTCAAACGATATTTATGTCATATTAAATTTATGTACCGAATAAATTATGTCAAATGATATTTATGCCAATTAAAATTCATGTCAAATGAAATTTATGCCGAATAAGTTATGTCAAGTGAGAATTACGACAAATGATTTCTACACTAAATAAAGTTTATGTAAAATATGATTTGTACCAAGTGAAATTTATGCTAAATTAGACTATTGCTAAATAAATTTTTATGTCAAGTGCGAATAGTTTCAAATGAGATTTATTTGGGCGCACATGAATTTCACATAAAAATTGTTAATTAGAATTTTTATTTTAAAGTATTTTATTAGAAATAATTATTTTTTTTAGACGAATTTTTGAATTTTCGAATTAAAATTTAACATATTTTCTTTTTATACAAATTTTGACATAACAAAATTTTTAGGTACCAAATTTTCATTTGTCAGAATTTTTATATTACAGTCATTTAATTTACATAACTTTTTATTTAAGAGAATTTTTATTCAACAGAATTGCTCATTCAATCGAATTTTATGTGATTCGAATTTTTAATTGACAGAAATTCCAATTCACCGAATTTTGAATTTGGCCGAACAAACAATGGACAGAAAGATTTCGGTGGAATTTTAAAAATTGACCAATTGATAATTATTATAATTTAATCCGTGATTGATCAATTTTAAAAATTGCGTCGAAATCTATTTGTCGATTGTTTGTTTGGTCATTTGTAATTTCGGACAAATGAAAATTCGGCGTCTTAAAAATTCTATTAATTAAAAATTCGTAAAAAATGTAAATTCAGTGAATTGAAATTTCTGTCTTTTAAAAATATTTAAATCACATAAAAGTTGATTGAATAAAAATTCTGTTAAATTAAAATTCTCTTAAATAAAAAAAGTATGTAAATTAAGTGACTTGAAAATAAAAATTAGTAAAATGCTGATACGCCTCTTTGTCATTCACAGCAAAAAGAGAAATTAGTTAAAGGATGAGAAAAAAATTAACACACATTTTCTGCTAAATTTTCAAAAATATCATTAAGATGAAAATTAAAAAAAAAAAAGAAAACTTTTGTAATATTACAAAACAATTAAGAAAAGAAATTTGAAATTTTTTATTTTATTTTTCAATTAACAGTTACATTTTTAATGATTCGTTCTAGTAAAAGATAAAATTGGTTTATAAGCTTTCACGAAAACACATTTAATTAGAAAACTTGAGTTCTCTTTGCAGAGTTGTTATACGTTTCACGTGAATTCTACAATATAGACATAGAGTAATTTATTTTGAAACTGGAAATTGAACTTTCTTCGCATAAATATGAGAATATTAATATTGATGAATTTTAGTTTGCCATAGTTTTTTTTTATTTTTACACACGATTTATTTACCTCGAAAAGGTGAATTTTTTTTTTTTTTTTGTTCACTTGTTCTAATATTATTTTTTGTTTTTAAAGAACAACTTTATTTTACAAAATGAGATGACTAATTTAGTCATAAATTCTTTAAAGCTTTGCTGTACGTATGTATTTAATATTTATAAACTTAAATACATGCTAAGAACTTTTAGTTAAAATTTTAGTCTAAGCTCATAACGCTCTGATTATTTAATGTCTGTTTTATCATAAGACTTGAGTATTTAAGACTTTTATCTGTGAATTTTTTTATGAAAAAAAATTTGTTAAAATCCTGTTGTTATAAAAATTTGCTTTTAGACTATTTTTGTTTTAAATTTTTTAATTAAAAATTCCTATTTATTCAATTCCGTTTTGAAAAGTTAGTGAAGAAAAATTCTGTAAAATAAAAAAAATTACTACCTAAAAATGTTATTAAGTGAAAATTTGAAATTCTGTCAAATTTTAATTCGAAAAATGATAATTCGTGTAAAAAATAATTATATCTAATAACATTATTTTTTTTTTGTAAATGAAAATTTTAACTAATGATTTTTGTGTGAAATTCATGCGTCTCGCAGATGAATGAGAATTTTTAATTTTTCCTCCAAAGACATGTGCCCCTTTAAATATGAAAATTTCATTATTTTCAACTGCAATCTTTCAACTTTGAAACTATCCAAAGTTGGTAAATAATTACGTATCGTCACGTACATTAGATATACCCATAAAATGTAATACAATCTGACAATTTCATAATTTAAGACATTAAATTTATTGGATACTCAAAAGTGGAACTTACATATATATATATGTGTGTGTATTGTTCTGTACTTTTCTTTACGAGGTCATAAAATAATAATGAAAATGTCAACTTTTATGTTTTTTTTTCCTGTTCTGATACCTGAGGGATTATGTTCCAGTAGAGGGACAAGGATAACTATTATTTTATAGTCTGCCCTTACTTTAATTTTAAAAAAAGAAAGTAATTACAATCAAAATTAATATAGATTTTGAAATTTAAATTCAATCATATATATAGTAGTAGAAAATTGCACAACGCAATGAGAAGAGATGTTGGAGTTGAAAACGATCGATAACAAACAGCTCGGACCCCTGCGACGCCAAAAACACAAACTAACCCCTGAAACTTTCTTCAAAATTTTTTACGTTACATTTTCTTTCATTATTATATTTAAAGATAAAAAAAAATTTACGCCTCTTAAAATAATCTTTACGTATTTAAGAATAATTTTACTTTTTTTTTTTTTTCGTTTTTCGTACTGATAAATGTATACCTATAGTGTATATAATGATGTGTATAACCATATACATATATACATATATAGCGAGCAAACATGA